AATATAAAACACACGACCTTATGGACTGTTCTGGACTCTGATTTTTTGGATTTCTTGGCCTCTGTCTGGACTGGACTAGACTTTTTTAATCCATGGACTGGACTGGACTCAAAAATTTGAGTCCATACGGAGCTCTGGTATCTACTTCTACTTTTTATCCTAACCAGAAGAAGAAATATTCGACATCGTGCCGAGCTATTTTTTAAAAATAGGTACCGTCTGGCTTTTCCATACTAATAAATATGACCATATACGGAGAAATATGGAGCATAATGGAGACGGTATACGGACTCTGTATACGAGGACTGTAAACGACCGTTTTTTCCTCCGTATACGACACGGAGATATACGATCGTAATACTAAGCCAGGTAAATCGCCGTATTTCTTCATACACGGTCGTTTACGACTGTGCTAATTTCACCTAGTACGCACAATGCTTCATTCTATGAGATATTGGGGCCCAAATGGGCCAAAATGACCCCACTTTCCGTCCCCGTTTCTCAGAGATACTACGCCTGATCGAGCTGAAACTTTTTTACAGGTACTAGACACTGTTTGAGATACTTACTTTGTTTAACATGCAGTGCAAAAGTCTTTGGAAAAATGGCAGACTCTGTTATACCATATTACCGACTTCGAAACCGTCAAATTTTGTTGTTGTTGCAAAGAGCAATATGTGAACTACCAGGCTTGTACCACACATGTTTTTCTAGAAGGAATCTGAGAAGAAAAAAGCCGAAAACCAGACACCTCTTAAGGGGGGGGGGGGTAACCACCCCGTTCTTTTCATAACTTTGTAGAGCGCATCAAGCTGTATATACCCTGAAGTGCTTTCGATGAACAGACTTGTAATTACTGAGAAAAGAAATTTTTACGAATTTCATACGATTTTGACACTCTATTTAAAAAATTTATAAAAAATTCAAAATTGGAGCTGGAACTGTTACGCAGTTCAACAGAGCACCTTAAGTGACATATACCCACAGGTTATAATGAAAATCGAACCAACGGTGTCTGAGAAAATTAACATTTTTCATTATAGTGCGGTTTGAGTCCTTAAAGTAATTTTTTGAAACTTCTGCACGCATTTCAAAAACAACGAAGCATTTTGAAGAAAACTTTTCGCTGGCAAAGTTGTTCAGGGTAATACTCTCCATACCCTAAGCGGAGCACTTTTGCCATTTTAGTAGAAAAATTTCGAAATAAATTACAAATAAAAAATTTTTAGTTTTAAATTTACTTAAACTTTGTGTAAATTGCATTTCTTTCAAAATTTTCCCACTAAAATGAAAAAAGTACTCCGCTTAGGGTATGAAAAGCATTATCCTGAACAACTTTGCCATCGAAAATGTTTCTTCAAAATGTTTCGTTGTTTTTGAATTTTGAATTTTGTTTTGATCAAAATAATTGAGGAATACAGAATTTTTAGCTGCGAAAATGTTGCAAGAACGTTTTAAGCGAAGTTTGGTTTTCGGCTTTTTTCTTCTCGGATTCCTTCTAGAAAAACATGTGCGGTACAAGACTAGTAGTTCACATATTGCTCTTTCCAACAAAAAAAATTTGACGGTTTCAAAGTCGGTAATATGGTATAACAGGGTCATTTTTTCGAAGACTTTCGCACTGCATGTTAGTTTCTTTTTATATTCTTTTTATCAAATATAAAATACCGATCGGAAAAGACCAAAAATGAAAAACTGAAACTTTTGGGTCAGGAAAGGGAGAAGTGCCTTTAATCCCTTGGGGCCCGGAGGACCATATATGGTCCACGCTGCTGAATCAGACCATGCGCATACGTCTCTTATGATACTGTTACGACCTAGATGTAGTGTAGGCTATGGATCTGTAACCGCCAATGTAGTGCTACACTACCATATGTATTGCAGCCTTATTCACCTTCTTTCTAACAAATATATTGTTTCAGAGTTTCGAAAACTTGATTTTTTCAAAAGTAGCCCCGTCCTTCAAGGGGTTAATATCAGATCGTTGACACGTAACCTTTAGAACTTTTCTTGTGTCACTTAACTCTGTTTATAAAGAAAATATGAGCTCAAAAGCGAGGAACCATATCGGTAGTTCGCAGCGATTCAATTGCACATCGTCTCTAAAAGGGTTTCGGAAAAGATTGTGTGCATTAATCTTATACTCCTTGAAAAAAAGTTGAGGCATGAGATTACATTTAAGAGGCGGTCGATTGTGTAAAAACAGCGACAAATGCTATCTTCTCCTTGTTTTTCTAGATATCGAGCTTGTCTCTTTGTTCCGTACGCTGACAAAACTGACCGATTACGTTTGTCATTTGTAGTTGTTCACGAATACAATGAATACGGACGAAGAAAACAAATTGAATGAATGTCTGAATTTGATTATTGAGAAAGTCTGTGAAGTTTTAACACAATTAAAAAGCAAACAAGAATCTACTACATCAGAAACAGATCTGTCCATTGCTATACCAACCACCACTCAAAGGACAACAATAACTACTACTGACGATAATGATCTTTTGCTCGATAATTCTATACAGAATAATAATGTAAACACATTTACTGTCGATAATGACGAAAACGACTTGTTAGATACACTGACGAATGATCTTCAAAATATTTTGAAACATCGTTTACCAGAGTTATCCAAGCTCTGTTACAGTTTCCTCGAGCAACATTTACACCAATATCATTTCGATAAAAAGCGATGAGTCTTCACTCAGAGATTAACAGCCACTATTCTTTATACACTCAAACATAATTTAAAGGGACTTTTGTTGGCTGTGAAAGCCTATCCCGCTGCATTAAATGGAGATCTAACCACAGTACAAGGTTTTCTCAAACGTTATCGAGACTATAAAGATAAGTCAGGTTTTTGGGGTACAACACTGTTATATTCGGCTGCACGAAATAATCATATGCAATTGGTTCGATATTTAATTGAAACAGTTGGCTGTTCTGTAAATGCTCAAAATCAAGGTGATATCAATTATATATTGGTAACAGATAACGACAATGCTCGACCAGATCCCAATACTTTAGGCTACGATCCGGATCCGAAAGCAAGTTCCACAGCATTACATGCTGCATGTTTTAATAATAATTTAAATATTGTGAAGTATTTGATCGATAAAGGTGCAAATTATTTATTAAGAAATCAGTTAGGTGAAACGCCTATTGAAAATGGCGAGGGTCATCAACAAATACGAGACTTCTTTAAAGATTATCTTGTACTGACGTATACGAATCTACCGAATGCATCGATACCTAGTGAACCGATTCTAGATTGTCATGATCGTGTACCAAACAATTGTGTTTGGGAATATAAACCGGTGAAAGGATTTGAATGGGAAGAATTCACCAAAAGCGAACATGATACATGATTATCAGCTTCATTGAGACCAATGACGGACGGTCAACAATTTAATACAACAATCTATTTGAGTGTTCGACAAGGTGTATACAACGTACAGTTATTAACATTTCTACGTGGTGGAAAAAATCAAGACCCCAATCCGTCAAATAAAGATAGTCTAGCTTGGATTCGATGTAGAGGATCGAGTATCGCTAACTTCGATATTCATTGCGTTTGGCAGTTGATGGTTGTCAAACACGAGACAAACAACACTTCTCAGTAAATCACAACGACATCATTGACATCACAAGCTAGTTTGGATTCAGTAACTATCCCATCCGTTTATGAAAGTAAATTTCAAGTACAACTCAATAGTTGGTACACATGCGACATCAAAGTCAGTGATATATTGGATCAAACAATGAACTACAGACGAAAACATGTCGATATTGACTGTAAACATATGGGAAAAATTAAATTAAATTTACATACATTTACATTTGCTAATGACAATAGAACGATCCTAGGTTTTATTCGATGGATACCGAAATTTATTGCAAACACTCCTCACAATCAAACTGTGATAAAAGAATTGGATAATTTTCGAACAGTCAATCAACTTAATCCGATTCCATTGACAACAAAGCGATTAGAACAATCGGTTCGATCAAAATCAACAACTCGCGCAAGCCCGACAGCAGTTGGAGATGGTGAAAATGATGAAGTTGATCCCATAGTGAACTGGACAAGTTTGTCGGTAGGTGACGACGAAGCGGATGATAACGACGATAACACACGTTCGACTGTGTCAGGTACCAATACTGGCACTTGGAGCCTGGATGACATTCTCAACAACGATTTTGAACAACAAAATGAACGCGGTAAACTTGAAGATAACTTTTGAATTGTGCACATTTATTATGACTTTTCTCTTTTTCCAGACGACGCACTTCTAACCACGACTGCAAGCTTCACAGAGCCACAAGTACCAACTCCAAGTGTCAACGATTTTATCAATGATCGTACAAATCAGCCGCCAGATCGGTCGGAGCAGATAGCCATTAAAAATGCTTCCGAAGCTAATAATCAGACTGAACAGATTGAGGCAGCGTTGAAGGCTAAAAATGCATTGGAAGTTGAAATAGAACAAGTGACAGCAAAATTATTTACGCTACAAATGCAAATCGATAAACAACGAACGAATGCGAATCAATATGAGACAGAAAGTCGAGAAACATTGAACACCGCATGCACTATGCTAAAAATTACACAACAACAATTAAACGAAAAAGTTGAACGCGAAAAATTGATCAATGAAGCAGTCAGACAAATATCTAGAGTCGAATATATTCTTCCAAAATCGAATCAATTAATTCTATTCAAACTCAATTTATTACTCGAAAACTTGAGAACATTGAATTTTCCTCAAAAAGAATATTTTAAAGATAGTATACCTATTATGGAGTTTCATCATCAAAACCATTGTACATTAATACTCAAAGGTTTTCCGGTTCATCATCAACAATTGATCATCATCTTGAAACGATTGAAAGATCTATTTGATCGAGCACAATCTGCTGAAGACTATTATAAACTGGAAATAAACAAAAATGTACAATCATTAATCAGAATAATTAAACGAGTACGTCCAACGAATTCGACTCACTGGAAACATTATACGGATTCTCTAGGTAAATTGATCCATCAAAAATGTGAGGCATATATCCACAAATTCACGAACTATATAAATGATAAATTAACATCACTATTGGACGATTGTATCAAAAATTCTTCTCGACAATACCAAAGAGATTTAGCAAGTCTGACAAGTGACTATATGAGAGATGAAAGATTCGTAGACGATGTTGATTCATTGAAGGCAGCAGCGCTAGATGAATTTATTCGTGATCATATTTTATTACAACAAAAGTTGACAAAAATCGTACCAACAAAAGAATCTGCTTCGACGTTGTCTAAACATATTGAAAAGATTAAAAAAATACTGACAACAAATTCCAGTTATAAGGGATGTAACTTAAAACAATTTCAAATGATTGTACCCTTATTGCAACGGATAATGATCTATTATCATTGCTTTCTACTACAGTTACCTCTCTTGAATGCATCAATTAATCTTCTGAACAGAATAGAGAACAATACAGTTTTGACAATTGAAACATCGACAGGTTCAGGTATAAAACACTAGGTTCATTCGCTCTAAATAAGTGAAACCTTTATGTTATATATGATCCTTTTATTGTAGGTAGATCCACACTTCTGCCAGCCCTATTAGTAGCGGAAGGTTATGATAAGATTATTGTTACACAACCTCGACGTCTACCATGTAATTTAATATCTCAACGTGTTAATTCAATGGTCAACGATGACATTAGTGGTTGAGCAGTCAGTGGTGCCGAGCGAAATGTGCACGCAAAAATTCTTTATTTGACCGGTGGTCTTTTGAAAGAACGTCTGTTGAATGATGAAAATTTGATAACAAAAAACACAACATTAAGCAAATATGTTATATTTTTTATTGATGAAGTACATGAACGTTCGATTAATATTGATTTATGTTTGGCTCTATTTGCACGATTATTGAAAATGAAACCTGAATTGAAAACAAAAATGAAATTAATTATATCATCGGCTACATTGGACGCATCAGTTCCGACATTGTATAGACAAATTTCGAATTGTTCCTTGAGTGAATTCAGTTTGATTTCATTGTCTACACTTCATACAGTGGATGTCAATCGTGTACCAAACGAAAATATACTCGATTTGGTACAGCAATTGTATAGTAAACGATTTCGACATGATCAAATACTTTGTTTTGTTGGTTCAACACAAGAGGTTCATGAAAATTGTCAATTACTACAGAAGATAACCAAAGGAGCCATCGTAGCATATCCTCTTATACAGTCACAATCGGCCATTGATCAGCAGAAATATATTGAACAAGGTACCGTCTTCTTTTCCACGACGGTCGCCGAAACTTCATTGACATTTCCATGTTTAAAATACGTTATTGATACTGGTGTAATCAATATGCCAGTATATAGTTTGGAATTAGAACGAACAGAATTGAGAGAAACAAAAGCTGCTGAATCAACCACGAAACAACGACTTGGCCGACTAGGTAGAACACAACCTGGAGAATATTATGCCCTGTACGATTATAAGCCAGGTACGTGAGAAAAGACATTCTCTTTTATTGAATCTTTAGTAAAATCACGAGAATTCTTTCTTCTAGGTGAACAACGAAAATATCCCGTGCCGCAAATATGTCAATCAGAATTGATGAATATCGAATTTTCACTACGAAAATCGCGCTTGAAAACTAGTTTGAAAGAATTGAAAGAATATTTACCTGATAAACCGGACGGGACCTACATTGACGATGCTATAGCACAATTACAACAATTAGGTAAGTCTTCTCTTTGGTTGTTCGAAGTAGATCAATACCCACTAGAATTTTAACTATTCATTTCTATACCATGCAAATCTGCCGCTCTTGAAAATGTGTGGACAGCTGATATTTGTTGTAGCTTTGTGTTTGTCTCCCATTTAGGCCTTGTCAGTTCTTCGTCAAGTAAACATTTCACTGATCTGGGTGCTTCAATTGCGAAGCTACCAGATTTTAGCTCATTGCCATTTTAGCTGTCTTATCAGCATTAAGAACAAATCGTTGTGGTCGTGATTTGATTGCTTTATCATCTATTTTGTCCGTTCTCAATACATCGGCCATATTGAAATCCATTACGGCTCAATATAAACGTCCGGAAGGCGATTTTATGACTTTGTTAAAAGTGATGGATACAATTTTGTTCGTTCGAGATTCAGTGCCTCCTGAGCAATTTAATGTTGATCGCGTTTGTAATGCAAAAGGACTATCTGTAGTGGCACATATAATTAAGCAAGCATTACGTCGATATAAAAATTTAGAAAGAGCATTCAATTTGGCAGTTGAATTCCGAGAAGATGCGCAAACTCAATGTGGCAATTGGGAAAATATAGCTAAAGCGTTACTCGAAGGTTTCTCTAATAAAGTATATGTATCCACAAAAATACTTCAAGGTAAAACACAGCAATTTATGAAGTATAGTGTGGAACGACGAGCGTCTATTCAACCACAGCAGTCAGTGGATGAAACGTCGCTAACAGCGTTTATTGATAGGTCTTCGACGTTAAGAACTGGTAATAAGGGATCTTTGCCGGCATCTTTGATTGTAGCTCGAGATATTCGCTATTTAACTGCGGTACGTTCGTCAGCTATTCTCTCTTTTGTTGGGCAACTCGAACCGTCATGGACTGAATATACTTTTACTCGCGAATTTAAATTGAATGCAGCTGAAGAACAGAAATTAACATCCGACAATATAATACACAAAGCAAATCAGCAATTTTCCCAAGCACAAATACACATTACGAATGGTAAATTAGTATTTCGTGGTACATCCGGTCATATTCTAAATGCTGAACTTTATATTCGTCAACAATTGGTAACAGAGTTAGCATTTACATTAGCATCCGATCAATCAAATAATCCGAATGATAATCTGACTAGAAATTTGATGACTATAACAAAAATGCCAATTGATCTATTTGGTCCATTACGATGGCGATGGGAAGCTGAACGACAAGTCAAAGTTCGAACAAAAATGAATGCCAACAAAGGAACAATTGATGTTAAGACTGAAGGTCTTGATTCACAAAATCAAGTAGTACGCAAAGAATTTATGTCGTTCTTAAGTTGGCTCAAGAGTTGTGCAGTGATTCGAGATCCACATTCAGGTATGTTTAGTAACGAAGTTTGAAGAAATGATTTCTTCCAAAAATCTTGAAAACGTTTCTCCCCTTTCTTATGGCAGTCCTTGTACTTTTATAATGTGTTTTCGTTTTCAGGAGTTTCGCCTCGTGTTTTGAAACCACAAATACGTGATAAATTTCTTGACATGGAAGCAAAAATTAAAAATATAACTGATCCGGATCGTACATCCGCTGATAGATGGAAAAGTCTCAAAGGTCCGACAGCTACACGTGAAACTCGTATGGAAGTTGTTGCTTGGATATCTGTATGTGAATTTTATTGTCGATTAGAAGGTGGTTTTGTTCGTGACTGGGTTGTTGGTAACTATTCGTCGAGACCAGCGAATCTATCACCAAAAGAATGGATTGAAATTCAACAACCAGGTGGTATGCCGATCTTACATAAAGAACTCATCCCGTCGGATCTTGATTGTCATTTACCAGCACTGAAACAATTTGACGTTGAAGCTTTTCTAGATAGGCTTCATGGATATGATATTACAGCGAAAGTCTTTCGCCAAGACTGGCGTTATGTGTTGTTAATAGATGAAAATTATAAGACTGGTCCGTTTACGATGGATCTCATCGAACCACACATTGCTCTGACCCATGATCGTATCGATTTCGATGTGAGTAATTTATCTTTGGAACGAGATTTCACTAGAGATTTGGGTATGCGCGTTGATATCACAGGTGGTGAACATGCAATTCAGCTCGAAACTATTGTTGAAAATATTCGTAATAAACATTTCCAAGTCTTGCGACCAATCGATGGTGAAAATGGACCCAATTCATCTGGAACCGTTGCTGAACGTATTGAGAAAATGAAAGCCAGAGGATGGACACAAATCGGTAAACCATTGGCTTTTATTCCCAATCCACCATCAACTTACAATGTTGTTCTCGTACCATATCCATATTCGACAACACTTTATCAGAATCTCGTGATTGAAATGAAAAAAATATCTGGAGCACAAGTCTTATCGATTTTGCAAATAAAAAATCCCGATATTGAAGCACTCTATCAATATATGAAACGAACAATATCAAAGGAATGTCCGGGTAATGACCCAAATGAACGAGAATTATTCCATGGAACTGGAGGTGATGCAATTGACGGAATAATTAATAGAGGATTCGATGATCGCTATTATTCTCAATCTGGTGCATGGGGTATGTTATAAGTATCTCCTTTATTTAGACAGATTAAACTAACAACTAATTACGATACTTTTTTTCAGTCAAAATTTATCATTTGATTATCATACTTGCGAATAAATGTCTCGTTTCGTTTATAGTAGAAAAAGCGTGTAAACATGTTGCTTAGTCTGATGCGCACATATATCTACTGGTACGATCCTTTGGTTAATTCTATTCTATTTTTTTTTACAGGACGTGGTGCTTATTTTGCTGATGATCCTCGAAAATCGAATGGTTATGCACCACCTGATCCAACGACACGTCATCGTGTTATTTTCTACAACAAAGTTTTATTGGGCAAGGAATCGGTGCAGAGTACGAGAGACGATAAGCTAGGTTCAGCACCGCTCGATCACCATTCTGTGCATGGTATTGGCGGTTGGACAGGATTTCAGTATCATGAATACATTATCTATCGATATGGTCAAGCGTTACCATATTTAAAAATTACCTACACAGCACCTTGATGAGGTGACAACGATATAGACATAGTCCGATTTCCGTTCAAAAATGTTTTGTGTTTTTCTAAATTCATTCTAATATATCAATGTGTGATGCGTTTAACTAATAACTAGAAAAAAAAGGTGGAGCCTGTCTACAGATCTCACTCCCTACCTAGAAGAAGTTTCGAAACATGGTTGATAATACAAGTCTTTCGTAAGCTTCATAGCAAAGCTAGAGATAGACGATTTACTCATTTGATACTCCAACTTATAGCACTTCAAGAAAAGTCCGCGGTTTCTCCTAACTTTTATTATATCAACAAATCAATAAAAAATGTTTCCTTATTATGAAAGTGAACAATAAATAAATGGATAATTATAAGAATTGATGGACAATAATTTGAGACTAAATTGAATTGAGTTTACAGCAGCATGAAATAAATTATTTTTCATTTTTACGACGTTTCGATAAAGTATCAATTTTCGTGTAGAAAACACGAGAATTGTTCACATCCATTTTTCATAAACATAAAAGGAAACTTCCAATGAACAACTAAGAAAACCAGAACTGAACACAACGTCCATGTCCAACGAAGTCCACGATCTCGTAGCCAGTCGGAACAAGATGTGAGAGAGATACAGAAAGGATAGTCTATGTTTTTATAAGCAAAACAGTTTTCCGAAAGCATTCAGAAGATCGGTTTTCTAGGGAATCTTTTGAAAGCAAGTCCGGATCTCCGGAAACTGAGATATCAATCTATCAGTTTTTTTCACAGGCAGATAGACCAATGTGTCCTCTCGAAAATGAGAACTAAGCGAACTCTTAATTATTCTTGCTTCGAATGTGGCATCGGATTTCCTGAGAGCCCCAGGATCGATATCTCCTTAGGTGTGGTAATTCCGAAAACGAACGGAAACATAGGCGATCGACCACGCTGAATCTCGTGACGACATTTGTTTTTCAATTAACTTTCAAAAACCTTGTGAAAACTTATATTAGGCGAAATAACCCATTTTTACCTATTTTTGAGTAAAATTATAGAATTCATAACCCAGTCAAGATCCACCCAAATTATGTCAGAATAACAAGATGTACTCTGTTTTACCTGTTCTATATGTTTTTCTACTCAAGAAAAGTAAAAAACATTCTTGTACTTCGGAGAATTTCTAGAAAACCTTTTCAAAAACCAAGGTATTTTCTGTTGATTTATAAAGCTTATATTGAACTGCATAGTATTGGGCAGGTAAAATAGAGTACACCTTGTTATTCTGACATAATTTGGGTGAAGAATTATAATTTAGCTTAAAAATGGTAAATCTCTCAATGAAGTAAAACATAAATTAAAGGTTTTCGGATGACGTTTCTCAATATGTCCTTTAGAACGTGTTTTTTCGGCTCGAAAAATGTTCTACGAACAGATATTTTCGAAACATTTCTCGTTTCTCATGTTTATATATACACATGTAGTTTCTGTGTTCTTTGTTATTCGTTCTCCTGATGATGCCGAGTGTTAGTCGTCGAAAGCCTGAGATAGAATTACTGTGGATTTGAATAAAATCTAATCATGTAGCTCGTAGCAGTATGGTACTATCTAATTCAATACCGAACATGTTCAAAAGAATCAACTTCTTAGCCCATTTTTTAAATAATATTTGTAATCTTTCTTAGAAGTTCAAAAACAAAAAAAGGGTGATGAAAATGTTTTTGAGAACTTTGAAGTATGCTCTTTCTTTCCACGAAATTCAAAATTAGTTACAAGCAAATTATAAGTCGAAAATTCTGACTTTTCAAAATCGTATTCAAAAACGGTTAAAAGGGCTCACACATATGATGTTTTTCGCCAGATGAATTGAAGAAAAGAATTTTTGCTCAATTATCACCTCTCAATCTGGTACAGTAGTCACTTTCTATCAAAATAAAGAAAATCCGAACCCAAAAGATGGTATTTGACAAAGTTATGCCTGTTTTTTCTTCTTTTCTTCTTTTCGGAACAGCTAATTTCTCTAAAATCTGAAAAAGAAGATTATTAGGGTGAAGAATGAACAAGAAACTTTTCAAATTATGAATGATCGTTCCAGCTTTTCAAGGGCTACAAAATGCCTATACTATTTTATTTTTGTGGCCACTAGCCAACGAAAACATCCTAAAAGAACGATTTTTGAGCTTGGGAAGTTGGTTCTTTTGAATGTGTTGAGTATTCTTGTTTTCATATTTTTGTTTCGCTTGGTACAGAAAAACGTTTGATACAAGCCTTGTAGAGAACTCAACAGGGTATCTTTTGAGTCTAACCTCAACTCTCCAGGATCAAAGCTGAGCAAGATATTCATGAAATACAAAATGCGCCATTATTTCCGACGCACCCGTTATTCTTCTTTCTCTTTTATCAATAAAGAAATTCGTTTGCCTGTTTGACGTGGAAAAGAAGTTGCTGATAAGGAACCCACTAAAATGATTTTGTTGTGATAGTGTAATAACATCAAGGCAAATAATATTTGCATAGTGACAATAGAAGTAGTTTTGTCGACAACGCAGGAAACCAACATATATATCCATATATATGTTGGTATACAAATATTTACTTCTCTCTCTCCTTATATATATTTATATATATATATATAAGGAGAGAGAGAAGTAAATATTTGTCATATGGTGAAAATAATGTTGTTTTTTTGCCGAAAGTAAAATTAACTAGTTTTTTTATCGACAAATCAGAACCTTTTACATGTTGTCTTTCATGAGTTCTGCTGGAAGCGAGGTAACATATTGTTCAAAGTAGACTATATAAAAAACCTAAATGGCTAGCAGCTACTCTATTACAATAATGATGTAGATATGTCTTTTTCCGCGATTTGATTAAGTTCATACTACTCCAGGCTCTGCTAGTGTTCTGCTAAAATGGTGGATGTGTTTTGTCTGACCATATGATTTTAGCACAAGTATAAATAGACATATGTTATTTGGCATAATATATGCAGTAACTCGGGCTAAGTGTTATCAGGTTGTAATAAGGCTGATATGCGTGTAAGGCTGATTTTCGGATTATCAAAATTTGCAGTAGTCTATTTACAAATAGTAAGGTGCCGATAGGCTGCAAAAGCGTTTTTTGCTGTGTTTTTGTCGATTTTGCTAGTTACTGATGCTGTAAGGTCTATCATAAATCGAATACAGTTTGATGAAAAACTGTTATACGGAGCTCGAAGAAGTCTCGTTTTGTTCAGAAATATTTGCTGTTTGACGAAGTTATTTGCAGAAGTTTCCCATCTAATCCAGAGGTCCGATGCTTCTGGTTTTCCAAAGAACCAGTTTTCGGAAATTTGTTGAAATTTTCATATGCACTATTTCAAATCACTTTTCACTATTTTTACTATTTTTCAATCACTACACAATAATAACCCACTTAACAGTTGGAACTACGCCATCCTCCCTATCGAAAATTTCTGGGAGTTCTTCTCCAATTGCTAACTGTACAGACGGCGGAAAGCTATTAACATTTCTTCGAAGGAATCTACT